TCATAATTTCTTATGGTATAATAATATTCATTACATCCATATGCTGTAATTTATTCAACCTTCCCTCAGCACATAGGCACCCCTTAGCTTTTAGTTTTTTTCTAGTCCAAAATTAGTTGTTACAAATACATATATATATATATATATATATATATATATATATATATATATATATACGTGTGTGTGTGTGTGTGTCTTTTTTTTCCTTCATCTCTTTGGAGTATAGATCTACTAATGGTATGGTTGGGATAAAAAGGCATGCATGGCTTAGCAACTTTTTGCTCATAGACGCAATGGCTGGACTAATTTCTATCAATGATGTATTAATGTACCTATTTTCTCACAACTACTGCAATTTCAAAGCAGCTGATGGCATAATGGATAGAATACAGAGCCTGGAGTCAGGAAGACTCATCTTTGTGAGTTCAAATATGGCATCAGATACTTACTAATTGTAAGTTAGTTCACTACCTGGACAAGTCACCTAACCTTGTTTGCCTCAGTTTCCTCATCTTTAAAATGAGCTGGAGAAGGAAATGGCAAACCACACTTTGCTAAGAAAACCTCAAATGGGGTCATGAAGGGTCTGAAATGACTCAACAACTGCAACATTTCTGATTTTCTTTTTTTTGTCATCTTTATTTAAAAATTTCTTGACTTTCCACTATGAGCCAGGCACTCATGTCTATCTGACCCCTGTTGGGAGGGTGAACTTTCCCATTCTGTGTCCTCCCATCACTACTCCTTTACCTCTCTTGTGTCAGAACCCATCATGATGAAGATACTGCTGCTGGCAATGAAGGGATTAAAGCTTCATTCCCATATTTCATTTTTCCTTTATTCCCTGCATCGTAGATTGTGGCCAGAATCTGTGTTTCATGGATACAAATTAGTCTGAGAAAGAACAGGCAAACCATGGAAAGATAATCTGTCACTCTTTTGCATTTTCTGATTCAAATGCCTTGAGTTGTGAGCCTTCAGTCTTTACCTTTGTTTGATTGGTGGAAATTTGGGAAGTTAGGAAATCTCAAAAGAGATTTACAAAAGAAATCATTCCTAGGCCAGCTTAACTGCAACACTACCACAGAACCATAGAATTTCATATATGAAAGGGACCTCAACAGCCTTTTCATTTAACCTATATCCCCAAAAGAAGCACAGCTCAAGCTAGCTGAGAGCTAGATTGACTATCTAGCATCTATTCAGAGAAAGCCAAGTAGTCAGCACCCAACTCCTCTCCAAGTAGTCCCACTCTCACTGTTAGGGCCCTTTCCCCAACATGAATCCAATACTGACTTCTTTACTTCCTCCCCGCCATGACTCCTAGTGGCTTTACATTTTCTCTAGTGCTAGTTATCCTTGACATTCACCCTGATTCCACGCAAAGGTCTTACGCCTTCTTTGATTTTCCTTTTTTCTTCCAATGTAGTTTATAAAAAAAAAGAAACAAACAAACCTTTTGTGGTGCTTAATTTCCCTCACCAGCATCTGCTTGTTCTGGGCTTCAGTATTCCCCATATATTTTTGATAGGACTGTGTCATTTTCATATTGTCTCTGCTATCTGGACTTGCTTCCATAACTTTACATTTCTTTTGAAAATTTCAATGAATAAATAAACACTTATTAAACACCTATTATGTACCAGGGACTCTCCTAAGAACTGGGAATGGCAAAAGATCGTCACTGCCCTGAAGTAGCTTACAGTCAAATGGGGAAGTCAATATGCAAACAACTATATAAAAAATAAGCTATATACAGGAGAAATAGAAAATTATAAAGAGTGGGAAGGCAATGCAATTAAGAAAGGGAAGGAAGAAAAAAAAGAAAGGTAAGGAAGGCTTCCTTTAGAAGGTGGAATTTTTGAAGTTGGGATTAATGAAAACAAGGGAGGTGAGTAGTCAGAGTAGAGGAGGGAGAATATTCCAGGCATGTGGGACAGTCAGAGAAAATGCCCACAGGTGAGAGATGGAAGGTCTTGTTCATGGAAAAGCCAGGAGGCCAGTGTCATCAGATTGAAAAGTACTTTTTGAAGAATAGGATGTAAGACTGGAAAAGTAAAAAAAAAACAAGAACTGGAAAGATAGGAGGGGGCTAGGTTATGAAAGGGCTTTGAAATAGGAGAATTCCATGTGCATCCACATCATTTTTTTCAAATAAATCCCATCTTTCCTCCTTCCTGGAATGATTTCCCTTTGTTTCTTCAAAATTTCATTCTTGAGCATCACCCATCCTTTCTGGCCTAACTTCCCTTGAAGTGTTTTAGTCCAGGGCACCTATCTATCTCTCCTATGAAGCCTTTGAAATCTGCCCTCCAAAAATCTACGGTTCCTATCATGATAGGCCCAGATTTCTTAATCTTCTGGATCACAAATTTTATGATTAGTAGTCACTTCCCCACAAGGATCCCTTCATTTCTACAACAGAAGCTAATTCTTCTCAGATAGTGAGAAGTAGATCCAGACTAGAATGCCACTTTATTGGTTTGTCGGTCTTTTAAAGGATGAAATTAGCAGAAGGAGAGCTCCAGGCAGCGTTTGCTACCTGGAGTTTCTCTATCACCACTATGTTGTGCCTCTCTCAAGCCTGTGGTTTGTATCCTAATTGTTACTGCTGCCGTTTAGTCCTTTCAATCATTTCTGACTCTTTCTGATCACATTTAGGGTTTTCTTGGCAAAGACACTAGAATGCTTTGCCATTTCCTTCTCCATAAGGAAACTGAGGCAAACAGGGCTAAGTTAGTTGCCCAGAGTCATAAGCCCCAGATTTAATCTCAGATCTTTCTGACTCCTGGCCCAGTGCTTTATCTACTGCACCACCTAGCTGTCCTCCAAACTCTTGTATACCAAACTATTCATCTATGCAATCTTTCTTTCTTTTCCATTTCATCTTTAACTGATTATTCTTTGACTTCCTCTAGGCCTTCTGGGTTTCTTAGTTGACATCCTCCTTCCAGGGTTAGGATCACCATGTTCTTTGAGATTCTGAGCACTGGATTTTCATAGCCATTAATGGAATCTTAGGACAGAATTCTAGGGAGGTTCAAGTATCCCCCAATTTCTTGGTCTGAGTGCCACCAGGTCTCTCAGGTCAAGGTCAAGTGCATGTTACTGTCTCAAACACTGGAAGAGGAAAAGAGGATTCCTCAAGAGGCAGTATTGTCTCACTTACAAGAATCTGTGCATGAACTATGATACCTGGGAGACCTCCCATTGTCTCTTAGCCCTTTTCTTCCACCTTCTTTCTTCAATGGCAACTAAATATACAGAAGAGCAGAGAAAAAAATATATCTCCCTTCTAGATAGTGTAAACCAAAACATACCAATTGCACTTCCCGAAGAGCTGAAAAACGCTTGATATCAGTGAACCTCTGACCAGCTTGGTGAGTGCTCCTATCCACTGGATGAGGTTGCATAGTTGGGGCCTTGAGAGGCATCCCAGGAGCCCCTCCCCTATGAAATGTCTATATGACCACTGGTGCCTTACTGACCACACTCAGGGAACTCAAGATGATATGCTGGGCTCAAGGGGTCAGACTCCCTCTGCGGAGAACTACCATTTCTGCTTTCATATTATATGAAAGTGAGCTTTGACAACTACCCATCCATTTTTTGCCCTCTCTCTCTCTTCAGAGCTTCCTCTGCCTCACATTTCTCTAATGTGTAGCATGGATGTGAGGAAGAAAACTCCATATATAAAGAGCAGTTGATGGTGACTTGCAGCAGAAGCACATATCAAAAGCAGACATGCTTTCACATGGTCGGGAAGAGAAGTTCATGGGCCATGTTCTAAAAGCCAAACTCTTGTAATGAGCAGGAGAGATTTGGAATTTACTATGCATGCTGCTACTGAAATCCCACTTTCTTTCTAGGGAAGGGAGACTTCCTGAGTAGCATCAACTTCAATGGGGCTTTGAATGTATTAATGAATGAAAGAAAGAAAGAATGCAAAAGCATTTATTCAGATCATTATTTAATAATAACAATATTATAAAGACAAACAACTCTGAAAGACTTAGAAACCCTGAGCAGCGTAGTGACCAGCCACAATTCCTGAAGACTCAATGAATACGCTGCCCACCATCTGATAAAGGGGTGAAGGACTGAGAGTAAAGAATTAGACATACATGTTTTTTTTTACCTGGCTAATGCAGGAATTTATTTTGCTTAACTATACATGTTTGTAATAAGAGTTTTCTTTTTCTCGTTTTCTTTATTGGGAGGGTAATGGTGGGGTGGGAGGGAGACAATGTAGATCCTAAAATAAAATAAAATTTCATTTAAAAATGGAAAGAATAATATATGTCAGGAACTCTGGAAGGTATCAGAAATACAAGCATTAAAATCAAGATATACAAACAATAAAATCCTTACCTTCTAGAGGCTTACATTATAATGAAGGAGAGAATACATATAGGTAGTGCCACCAGGGAAGTGTGTTGCTTTTTTTTTTTCAAGGAAGTTACAGAGATGGCAACTGGCATCATAGGGCAATTGATTGATATGTCTTTCCAGAGTGGTAGAGTGGTAATGTTGATTAGATTGCTGTTCCCCAATTAGAGGCAGAGAAAGGGTCAAAGGAAGAAGGGAACACACAGAGAAGTATGTCATGATAATGGCTGGGATGGGCTGGGCTGAGTGGACTGGACCTGATTTGAGCTCGTCCTGATGCTCATTCCTTCACCCATCAGTAGCCCAGGGCCCATAGGTAGAGTTAGAGTTGGAACACAATGTCTGAGGTTTAGGTTGGATTCATCATCATCATCATCATCATCATCATCATCATATTCTTCTTCTTCTTCTTTGTCTTCTCACTATTCTACAGATGAGGATTCTAAGAGTCACAGAGCTTAAGGGAGCTGCCTGTGGTCACACAGGTAGTAAGTGACAAAATTGGATATTGCACCAAAGTCTTTCTGTCTCCAATTCTAGGTTTTGAATCAGAGTTCAGTGGTCTTGCTGCTACCAAGAATGAAAGAGATCGGTAAATTTCTTTAATGCCTTCAATGTGACTTCTTCCTCCCTAGAAAATGCCAGATGATCCTTAGAGGTATCCAAAGGGCTTGTAGATGACATTCTTTCTGGCAGCACCACATCAGCCGTGACACCCTCAGAGCAGCCTTTCTCAACTTACTGTTCCACAGAATCAAAATCACCGAGTGACCAAACGGAAAGAGCAACGTGATTGGCGTACCCAACATGGAAGCCACCTTACTCTTTTCTTCTGTCAAGTAGTTGACATAGAAACCCACATAGTACAATAAAAAGAAGATGATGAAAGAAGACGTAGCTTTCATGACTTGAACATGGGCTTCTGTGCTAGGGTCTCTGGAACCTGTGGCACTGCATTGCATTTGGCAGGTATGCTTCAACGGGGAGAGAATGAATAGGGAGAAGGAGATTGTAGGCAGAGTAAAAGTAATAAGACTCCTAAGGCCAAAGAGAACCTGGAACGTGAGAAACATACTTTTACTCACTTGGACCTCCTGAGACACATTTCTCTCCTTTCCTATACTAAAGTGACTGCCATAGTAATAATACATTCTTTCTATCATTGGAATGCCAAATGAAAAATAGATAATCAAGGGCCCCATAAGAACCACAAAGACCATCCTGTCAATTCTCCTTTCCATCCAGAGGAAAAGGGGATTAGAGAAGTTGGCGATCTTCAGGAAGTAGAAGATGTTGAGGACAGTGGTAAACCAAATATTTGAATTATGAGTCAGTACCAAGAACATGTCAATTATTCTTACATGGGTGCTTACATCAATAGAGGTAACAATTAAATAACTATTCCATGTTTTTGCACATGACAGTCCAATTCTGGAGATGGCCAAGTTGACCAGGATGAGATCACCTGGTGACAATTTCTTGCTGTTGATGCTGTCAATGCAATTCACGAAAACTATGAATCCATTTACCAGAATGCCCAATAAAAACTCACTGGTTGCCACAGCCATAAAGATTTTTTCCCCACTACTTAGCATGACAGCAGAAAGGAGATCACTTCAGAAGTTACCAATATTTAAAATACTTTTGATGCTACTACAGTTGGATTAATTTCCAGGCAAAATAAGTATGGAATGATATGTACTTCTGATATGTGGTGGTGCAGTAATTTTCTTCTCTGTCTTTAATAAGGTTTCTGTCTTAGGCAAGAAAATGTCTAGTCCTCTGTTGGAATATCTGCATGAAAATATCCTATGTGCCTTCCCAACAGCTCAGTTAAATCTGCCCAGGCAAGACACACTTTCTCTGTGACATTTCTATTTCTTTTTGAGAGGTGATCATGGAAAGGATTAGAGTCCTATGTTAAGATGAGAATAGGGAGAGTCATCCTTCAATATTTTCCTCTTTGTTTCTCAGCCTATTTTGTATCCAAACATGTGAGCTGTGTATGATGAACCTGTCCCAATGATGCATAACATAGGCAATGTAACAAAGCCCTAAATGTAGAGATTATGCTTCAGCTCCATCATTTCTCACCATATGAATATTGATATTACCATCAATTGTTTATAAAATCAAATTCATGCATGGTATTTCTGGTAAGTCACATTTAGGTTTGAAAATTTATAATGAATTGTAATTTAATGGGCCACTAATATGAGTAGTTCACTCTCAAAAGATATACCTTTCTTTCAGTTTTCATGGTAACTCAGACAAAAGAGTAGTATATCATGCTAATTCTTCTATAAAGACATACCACTAGCATCAGGCAGGAAAACTGGGACTGTTTGTCAACCACCATCTTTTTGTTGAGTTATGTGTACTATAAGCTTAGAGAGAATGATTATTAGATAATGATTCAATGTTTCTAGTGTGTTAAGTTTTCCAAAGTACTTTCTTTGTAGGAACATTTGGAGGTGTGAATTCAAGGGCTATTTCCCCTTCTATTAACAGATTAAAAAAAAACAGGTTTAGCAAGGTGAGATGACCTGTCCAGGCATCACAGAATTAAAAGTTTGAGCTAGGATTTTGACCCTAGTGTATACTGATGGACAGCCAGCTAGTGGAAGTAATCACCTACTTAAAAACCCACTGATTTATTATAAATGCAATATTAGGCACCTTTCCCTTAATCAACTTTTCACTTCTGAAACCCACAGTTGGGTTTGAATGCTTGGCAGTTCAGCTCAAGAAAAGATTTCATTGCATTTCTAGGTGTTTTTCAGAATCATTCTAAGACAATTTAAATGGAAAGAGTTCAATTTTCTGGCATGGCACTGGTAAACTGTCCAAGTTTCATGTGCATATAGCAATGAGATCAGCACAATGGCTTTGTGCTTTCTCCCAAGATTTTTAGCATGATGTTTTTAGTGATGTTGTCAGATACCTTTAACAAGGATGAAAATGGCATCAGGGTCAGTTACTGCACAGATGGTAAATTGTTTATCTTGCAAAGGTTAAAACCCAAGAGTAAAGTGGAGAGACAATTGGTGGGTGACTTTCTGTTCGCAAAAAAACTGTTACTTTGAATGTTGTGGATAAGTTCATTTACTTTGGCAGCATACTTTCCAAGGATATACACATAGATGATGAGGTTGATGCATGCATTGCCAGAACAAACTCAGTGTTTGGGAGGCTCAAAGGAAGTGTGAGAGAGAAGAGTTAATACGTTGCCTGTGAAACTGAAGGTGTACCAAGCCATTGCGCTGACCTCATGGTTACATGTTTGTGCAACCTGGGCAGTCTTACCAGAGCGTCGCCAGGAAATTGAAACACTTCCATTTGAATTCTCTTAGGAAGATTCTGAAGATCACCTGGCAAGATAAGGTGCCAGACAATGAGATCCTTTCTTGAACTGAACTGCCAAACATTCAAGCTCTGCTGCAGAGAGCACAACTCCAATGGGCTGGTCATGTTGTTCAAATGACAAACATATGTTTACCTAAAAGATGATTTCACAGAGAATTCACATGAGGTAACCTCAGAAGAAGAATTTCATGGATACTCACCAGGTCTCTCTAAAGAACTTTGAAATCAATTGTGAGACATGGGAGACCCTGGCACAGGACTGTGTAACATGGAGTGCCTGCATCAAAGAAGGCACTGTGTTCTATGAGCAAAGCACAATTGCAGTGCTTCAAAAGATGTACAAATTTACAGACATCTCCATTCCAAATGTTTATGTGGACTATTTATGCCCAACTTGTCAAAGAGCCTTGTGAGCTCAATCAGCCACAGTTGAACACACTACACATTGACCTCAACATAGAGACATCATTTGGGTCCTCTTTGAGAAGGAAGACACCAACCACCACCAAATTCTTTGCCTTCTATCAACAACGCTGCTGAAAAAAAGTCACTTGTGCCCCTGAGCTTTTTATTTCCTTGACAAAGATTTCATAATTTTCTATTTTAAAAGGAAAGAAAGTACATAATTTTTTATTTCTGTAATAGAAACAATCAAATTACAGTTTTAGTTAGAGTAATAAAAAAGAAAAAGGAGTTTTAGAATATTCATGTTTATTTACTTAAAAGCACTTAAATTAGAAATAATAGCAAAATAAAAGGGGGGAGGAGTAAGAGCTAGTCATCCCAAGGGCAAAAATTTCTCTTTTTTTTTAAAGATTCATTAATTTATTTATTTTTAGTTTTCAACATTCACTTCCACAAGATTTTGAGTTTGAAATTTTCTCCCCATCTCATCCCTCTCCCCACCCCAGAATGGCATTCATTCTGAATACCCTTTTCCCTAATCTGCCCTCCCTTCTATCTCCCCCTCACTTCTCTTATCCCCTTCCTCTTCTATTTTCCTGTAGGGCAGGTTAAATTTCTATACCCCATTTTCTGTATATCTTATTTCCCACTTGCATGTGAAAACAATTTTTTTTTTAACATTTGTAAAACTTTTGGTTCCAAATTTTCTCCCTCCCTCTTCACTGACCCTCATTGAGAAGGCAAGCAAGTTGATCCAGGTTATACTTGTGTAGTCATGCAAAACACTTCCATAGTAGTCATGTTGTGGAAAACTAACAATATTTCCCTTCATCCTATCCCACTCCCTGTTTATTCTATTCTTTCTTTTGACCTTGTCCCTCCCCAGAAGTGTTTGCTTCTGATTACCCCTTCTCCCACTCTGCCCTCCCTTCTATCATCTTCCCACCCCACTCTCTTATCAGCTTGCCCCCTATTTTCCTGTAGGGCAAGCTAAATTTCCATACCCAATTGAGTGTGTATGGTATTCCCCCCTTAAGCCAAATCTGATGAGAGTAACATTCACTCATCCCCTCTCACCTTCCCCTACTTGCCCTCTACTATAAAAGCTTTTTCTTGTCTGTTTTATGTAAGATAATTTACTCCATTCTACCTCTCCCTTTCTTCTTCTCCCAGTATAATCCTCTCTCACCCCTTAATTTTATTCTCCAGATATCACTCCTTCATCTTCAACTCACCCTGTGTCATCTATCTATCTGTCTATCTATCTATCTATCTATCTATCTATCTATCTATCTATCTATCT